ACTAATTTTCTAGGTAGATTTTGGAAGTATACTTTTTTATGTTATTGGAATTATTAATTTATTATGTAAAGATTTAATTAATAGAATTTAATGATGAGAATAAACAAAAATGTCTTAAATATATGATTTAATGAAGGTGAATGCAAGTTAATACCTTACATGTTGAATTTAATGGGAGGGAATTAAATGCATTTAATATCTTAAAAGTACCTCTTTTTAACTCATTTAATATCAATAACTAATTATCATATTTGCCCTCACTTTTTTATCAATAATTTTAAATATGAAGGGATAAATTTTGTCTTCAGAAAATTTCAGAAATATTCTTGAGGCTATGTGTGTGTGTATATGCATGTATGTATGATTCTTTTCTTCTAATCAAAAGAAGATTCATCTTTTAATTTCTTATTATTTTTCTTTGTGTCCTTCCAATTCAAACCCTTTATAATGCGAGTTGAGAACTATGAGAGAATTCTCATTCATGGGCTCTTGGATAATGAAGATGCTTGAAAAACTACCTTTACAAATATATGCTGGCCCAGCAGAGGTTGATGGTGAATGTTTACCTGCATGATATACCATGATGACAATGTTATGCAGCTCAGCACAGTGAGAATGGAACCCTTCAGCCAGTTTTCATGGACAGTATTTGTCAATATGGATTATGTTTCTCAGTGCAGGTCCCTTATACAATGTCATGGTCATGGCTCCAGCCAAGAAAACCAAAGTCCCAACAACTTTTGCTTTTCCACGTGGGTTAGTTACATCAAGAACCTCTAACCTACATCACCTCCATTCGTTAAGTTCCTAATATTAACTAATTAAATGCAGGAGATGGAGATATCATACACGCAAGGGAGATGGTTTTCTGAATTAAGATGACTTTCTTACCTGAATATAACTGCAATTATAAAGGTTATGGAAGCAATGGTGTTCATCATTGATGAAAGGAATGTTGGGGAGGCAAATCTCAAGCTTGCAAAATACATGTTCGGGGTTAAACCAGTCCTGTTTGTGATCACACATCAAAACCGGCCCGTTAGTCCTTTCCATTCATCAGTTGTTACAGAATGCAATTATATGTACTTCTCTTCAGCATTCCTTACCCAATGAGAGACAGCAGAAATATCTCAATAAACAATGCAAATGTCAGCTTTGGTCTTAATTTCCTGCAGGATTAGAGGAAATAGACAAAGATCAGATGTTTCTGTAGGTCACAAAAACATGAGGATTCAATCCATGATTGAATGCCCTGCAATGAAGTACAGTAATGCGTAGTAACCCATCTGAACCAGAACAATGAGGAGGTGTGGCTTGAACCTCCTGTAACTTATTGCACCAGTTTCACATGCCTCGAATGCCATTAATTAATTACTCTTTAAATGTAGCTTTCCTTGTACCTCCGCCCCATTAATTAGTAGGAGAAAGAAATACATATATACTTATACACATAGATCTAGACCTGGCTTTGATTCTTCTCCAATGTTGTTAGCATCAGGTTCCTGTGATAACAATTTCCCACTTGGTAACTGACCAATTCCAACTTAGTAAATGTATAGATCGAATAAAAAATATTCTCTTCGATTATTAATGCCAAGGTTGCATGAAGCCACCAAAATAGGCAATTGCTAATGTAATATGCAAAAGCAAATTAATCAATTATGTTGTCGGCCAGAGGAATCAACATTTACTGATGATGTGACAGGAAGAGAATCCACGACCATGGCTTTGAATATCAAACTTGCATGTTCTTATTGAACCAAATAGAGCTGGTATTTGAGGAAGAAGCATTCTGAAATAGTTCCTCTCCACTAACTCACAAAGAATAAAAAAGATGCAACATCTAATCATAATTAAAAGATGAACTTCTCCTTTAATTAACCCGGAACTCATTCAATTGTCCCGGGATGATTGAGCCTAACCTAAACAAACAAATCCAAAAGCTAAGGAAAAAAGATGCATTGCAGCTTCATGTGCATCATTATATTGACCAAAGCATTTACTATTATATTGTAGCAAATTTGGGCTGTCTCAATACGCCATTCCGCTCCAAATCCAATTATTCTGGATTTGGTTGTTAGAATTTGCATCCAGATGAGTTGCGGAATTAATTGAGTTTGATAAAAAATTATGTATGTATAATATATATGTATAATTATATAAAATTTATAATTGATGATAACTTTAATATTTTATATTTATATACATTATATGTATATACATATAAGTTAAAAATAATTACTTTTTACTTTTTAAAATTTTGGTCATTTTAAACTTAATAAGATGATTGTAGATTAAATCCAAATCCGATCTAATTACATTCTTACCCTTAATGATACACAAAGGTTGTATTAGCAAATGCACACGTGCTTTGCATGTGCATAGCAATTTTAAATGATGATGATGATGATGATAATAATAATAATAATAATAATAATAATAATAATAATAATAATAATGATAATAATAATAATAATAATAATAATAACAACAATAACAATAACAATAATAATAATAATAATGATAATAATAATAATAATAATAACAATAACAATAATAATAATAATAATAATAAAATTCTCTACAAATTTTTATATTTCTATGTGTATAAGATTAATTCTCATTAACTCAACACATTTATTTTTATTTAGTATGATGAATATATAATATTATAGATGTGTCCAACTATTTTCTACAACTTTTGTGTATTTGTTTTTCTTTTTTTTGTATTTTTGTATTTTTATTTTTTATTATTTAATTATGGCATTAATTAGCAGAAAGTCCCCTCGTTATTAAACCCTTCTCAAAGATTTTACTAAACTTGGTATTATAAGATGCTACTTTCAAAGATTAGAATGTTGATACACTTGGTACCCAAACATGAGTATTAATGCATATTGATATGGTCGATACCATTTTTTTTTTGCTTTTTATTTTGTAATAATTAGGGGGTTGGGGAAGAGGTTTGAGATGTTTTAAATATTTTAAAAAGTTTGTTTATTAGTGTATCCAAGCATATCCAAGCATATTTTAATCCTTAGGTACCTTTGCTTTCTTTGATTATTAAAAACTAGTATAAGAGCATGTATTGTACATGTGTGAAAGTAAGTATTCACCTTATATGATATCATATAATGTTTGGGTTTCACTTTTATGACCTGCTCAGAGCCCAAGGCAAGTATCTACACTTTATATAATACAGATATATTGAATTCTATAAATATGGTTTATGACAAAAAGAAATTACTTAAGCAGTCAGCGTTGCATGATGTGGCAATGCACACTTCAAATAAACAGAAAGAGAGAAAAACACATGTAGAAAATCAAGAGAACACTTGATAGGTAAGACGTACAAATTGGACCAGGTAAGTTCAGGACGAGGCCAACCCTAGATCAACCTGAATTGTTGAACCCCAACTTTAACCGACCCCGTGGGTCATGGAATTGGGTTGGGTTCAGGTTGATCCAATTTTTTTTTTTCAGTTCTTTTAACTTTAAAAATGTTGTGGCTTCTCAGTCGCATAATGAGCCAATTAAGGGCTAACCAGTTTCAGCATTAGCAGATACATGGAAACAAAGTAATGGTGCTTTAGGCTAACCATTACATATAATAGAAATATATATTATATATATAATAAATATATATAATATGTATTTATTTATTAAATTATTATCAAATTAATATAATATTAGTTTATTAAATTACAACAAAAATATGATATTTTATGTGCAAATCAGACTTCGGGCCTTATATAAGAGTCAGGCTTAGGCTCAAGATCTAGGCCCGAAGGTGAGGCTAGGCTCGGATTCAGGCCTGAACATTTTCTATTGATAAAGAAGTAAAGCCCAACTCGGCCTGACCCATGAATAGGTCTAATTGTAACTAAGAATGCAATTTGAACAGGCCCAACCAGAGCCTAAATTAATCCAACCTGCAATTTTATATGGGCTGGGCCTGAGCCTAGCCCTATGACATTTCAAGCTAAGTCGGACCTCCTTAGCCCAGTCTGAGCATAGATGCATATACACGTACGTGCATGTCAAATTTAATGTTTAGTTGATTAACCAACCCGAGCTTGTCCCAGGCTCAAACTCAACCCAAGCATTTCAAATTTGAAAGCGTCTGGGATGATATGGACAGATCCTGTTTGATCTGGGGCTAACTCCGGGCTTGGCCTCGCCTTATACCTATTTCTTAATGTTGAGCCTGGATTGTAAGCAGTAAGCATCTCACCTTAAAATGACAGATTTCTCTTTTCCACAATTAATATAGGGTCTGGATGTAGTAATCACGTTAGGTAAGTACAGTAAATGAGCATGTAATAGCTGATACATGTCCGAGTTAATGTGATTTTCATTCAAACGTTTTTGTTTCTTAGACAGAAATTAAAATTAAAATTAAGACAATGAAAAAGAAGGCCTAAACGTGTTGGGAATTGGGACCATTTATGTTTTCTTTTTTTCATTGTTTTTTATTTTTATAGACAAAAACCGTATGTATTTACGCTTTACATATTTGTATTTATACTCATTCATGGAGCTTCAATTGGCTAAATTTTATTTTACAGACTGTTGCTTTGATCATGCCTAGTTGTTTGGTTCTGCTGCTAGTTTTGAAGTGTGCTTTCATTGTATGTCTCGGTTTCAGTGTCTTACTCATGCCATTTGCCCAACTTTCAGATTGGTCAGGCGCAAAATTTAGTGGAATTAGAAGCACCAATCGAGTAGTATTTATTTGTTTCTTCAATAAATTTATTGTTACGTTCTCTCTTTCTGTCTGTATGAGTAATAAAGGAAACGACGTTAATTTGGACTTTTCTCTAAGAAGTATCGTTATTATATATGGAATGAGCAGGAAAGACGTTCGTTGAGTTTAGTTTCTCCTTTAATTAATTTACTCATTTTAGGAGACTGTTTCTGGAACAGGGGAATGACTTACAACGAAATACTCTGTCATGCATGTTCACATGGAATTAATACATGAAGGAAAAGAATTGAAGTAGCTTCTCAGACGCAAAAGTTTTAATAGTTGCACCACGAGTGTAATAATATTTCTTCGAGACTGGAAAAACTTGGTAAAATTCTCCCTTTCTTTCTTTCCGGATTCAAACTACCATTTGTTTACAGAAGCTTGTGAAGAAAAAAAAACCCAATACATATAGAGGGGCTTAGTTCATTTCACCTGGGTTTCTAGTTATCTCACAGGATGTGTGCCAAATCGGTTGCAGGTCTAAGGATCTCTTTCATGTACCTCCTTTTCCACTGAACTATTACTAACTAATTGTTTCTTGTATTCCTTTTGCTTTTCGTAATCCAAATAGGAGAGCTCTTGAGGCTTGATGCTAGTTTCTTGGTCTCCTTCTTTACCCCACAACAGCAAGTAGAGACCAATGATGACAATAACTCCTCCCAGTATGCTAAAGAAGCCAAAGGAAAAAAAAAAAATCAGTTCCTTCTGTCTTTGTGTAGCTACTACTAGCTAGAGTGTTTGTGAACATTTGGGTTGGCTGATGAACAACCGAGCACTAATGTGTTCTGATAACTGTGTATTAATTTAGGTAAAGGTAGACGGAATGATAACTTCTACATACCTTCCCATGTAGAGTCTTTCACCAAGAACAAAGTATGCGATAACTGCCACTAATATGGTTGAGAGGGGATTAAACATTGTCACAAAAACTGGGCCTTTTTGTTCTGTAACCCATAGTTGAACGAAGATTATTATACCAGAGCAGACCACTCCCTGCCATGAATAATCAATCAAATTTTAGGATTCCCTGAAAGCTTTGTAGTCTATACCAGAACTGTAGTTTGTCTCAAAGGTCCTACTTACACCATATATGGTGGACCAGAAGTCGATGTTGAACCCAATTATCCATGCTGCTGGCTTGTGTTCCATGAACACTGTGAACACAGCTGATTGTGCTCCCCCAACAAAGCACATCCATGTAGTCAGAGAAAGTTGTGCCGGATATCTCTTCAATGTCACAGCCTACAATGTATTGCAAAAGAGTTATTATTATAGACAGTGCTAACATCAATTATCTTGATTAATTTGAACTCTTTTAACTAAATGAATATGTCTGTTTTTCATATCTTTTCTTTGTTTATATCCTTTGTTTTTCTTTTCCTTTTAATTATTTCCTTCCAATTTAAACTCTAAGTGATGGTGCTGGGATCATTGTAAAGAATTTTCTTCAGCTGTAGACTGTAGTACTTACATACACTTAATTGCTAGGTTTTAGTTGCTCCTGTTGGTACAATCTAGCTAGTTACCTCTAAAAGATTAACTGTATCAGACATTAATCTTTTTCAATTCTCTKGAAGTGTAATGATCCATGTTAAAGATAAAGAAAACAAAGTAGCCTGCTCTATATCTACAAACTTCAAATGTGACCTTATCAATTAAATGAACTTGTTATGTGCATGGACCTGCTTACTGAGATTTTTCTCTATAGTTATAACCAATTATCATTAGTACACCATGGAACAGCAGTTAGTTGCCTAATAATATTTTACCAAGTTTACTCTTGGATCAGTCAAAGTGTTCAGTTACCTGCATAATGTACCACACTGACCATGTTATACAGCTTGCCACAGTAAGGATTGAGCCCTTCAACCAGTTTTCATGGATTTGGTTTCCCTGGATATGAATAAAAGCACCTGATATGTTTCTCATTGCAGGTCCCTTGTACAATGTCATAGTTGTTACACCAGCCAATGAAACCACGGTCCCAAGAATTTTTGCTGTGCCACGGGGGCTTGTAATATTGAGAGATTCCAACCTACATTTAATTAAGGCCATTTAGGAGAAGGAAAAAATAAGAATCGAAGAAGAAAGAAAACCTGTATTATAAATAAGAATTTAATTCCACTGAATACCATACCATGCACCCAGTAAAGATAAGGAAAAGTAGTTAATTTATAAGCTTTTACTGATTAAGAAAATGCATACCTGAGTACGACTGCAATTATAAAGGTCAAGGAAGCAATGGTGTTGACAACTGAAGCAAGGAATGTGGGTGAGGTATATCTCAAACTTGCAAAATACATGTTCAGAGTTAAGCTGACCCTGCAATTCATAAGTCGAGGCTGTTAGTCATTTTCTAATATCAGGTGCAACGTACTGTTTATCAGTCATCTTATTCAAATGTATTCATGCATCCTCACCCTAGGAGAGACAGCACAGATATCTCTGCAAACAATGCTATTGTCAGCTTTGGTCTTCCTTTTCTGTGGGAAAAGAAAAACAAATAGAGTCAAAACATGTCTCAGATCAGATATATGAATAAAACCCAAGTGAGTTAGGCCAATATTTAGAAATACAACATTAAGTACTGTGTAAAAATTACAACTAAGCTAAATTCCATTTCAGGATTCTTGGGCATCAACATGTTTCCATGTTCACTTAAATATACAAGAAAATTTAACTCTGGGAAGATGGGGTGGGGGTGGGTGGTGGGATTAACACACAGAGATTGGAAACAAATAGCAGATAACTCATTACCACCCAATTATCCATGTAGTGTTGTGAACTACTAAAGAGCCGTTGTACATGTGTTTGCAGGAATGTATGTGATAGAAGCTACACAATGAATACACATTAATATTATACCTTTCAAGGAAATAAGCAAAGGGCAGCATCGCAAAACCAGCTACTATATGTCGATAAGTTATGTACACATGGGGATTCATTCCATGGTTAAATGATGCCTCTGTTATGAAGTAGAGGAATGTATAACCCATCTGAACCAAAACCATGAGGAGGTGTGGTTTGAACCTCCTGAAAATTTGCCCAAAGCCACATGCCTGGAGTGCCATTACTCTTAGATATGTTGCTTCCCTACTCAGTTTTCTGGTTTCTACTTTGTACTACACAGATGAAGGTGAGGAGCATAACATGGCCATACATATAGATGACCCTGGAATATTCTAGTAACAAGTTCCACTTAGTTCCACTTGAAAATTGCAGACTTGCTAAACAATGCAATTTATGAAATTAATTAACGTTCTAGAAGCGAACCCAACACTGAATTAGTGGAATGGATAGAGGAACTTAACACAAGTGTATATATGTCAAGCTGGCTGACCTGGTAACTGTAAGCCCTTCTCATCACATATATATCATAGACGGCATTGATTAGTTTAGAATCTGAACTTTTACTATACCAAGAGAATGGTCAGCCAGAATGGACAAGATTCTAACTTTAACCAAATGCATATCGATTATGTGTAATTAATTATTACAATTATTTGAGTCTCAGAATCCACTAATGCAACTTTTCTGGACCATAAATATTCCACGAATCACAATTCCATAGCGACAGTGACACACTAGTTGCTATTTGATCAAATGGGCTTACATCACTTGTTTCTTAATTTACACCCAACCAAAGTTCAGAGTATCAATTAATACGTATTGTATGATATGAACCGGTATTTGAACCCACTGATAATATAAATGCTAGGAATTAGAACATGTGGCCATGCAGTTTTGAAGGTTAAATATTGTGCGTATCAATACTTTCAGAATCATGTATGAATTGAAAAGTGGAAGGTCATCATATCTATAATGGGTTAACTGTTACACCCACTTGTCTGATCATAGTAGCTACACTCGTGAACACACTGAAGTGCCTGTTTGGCACCTCTGCTTCACAATTATATTTAAGTCATTTCATGGTGGGTTGAGAGACACTTAATTATATGGCACACTGATTGTTTGGAATTCACATTGTGCCCCACAGCATATCCCAAACCATGTTGAGATGTGCATGTGGGGCGCAGATGTGATCTCCATTGTTTGCGTACTCATCAGTGTGGTTACGGACTGTGCCTACCGGATCCACTCCTGAGAGGCACACAACTGAAGAATCATTTATATCCTCAAATCCATTTGTACATATGCTTCTTGTATTGGAGATTGGAGAATCTATCCAACTGCGTAATTGTAGAGAATGTACCAGCAAAGAGGTGATCATATTCTTCTTTGTTGGGCATTGTATTCTACTTTCACTAAAACATGAAAAATGTTGTCATCATTAGGTGTATACCAGAAGAGACCTATGCGATGCAGTGTGGTGTCAAAAGATGCCCATGTTAAAGGGAAGTAATTACATTCAGTTTCCTAACGAAAAGGAAACAACTGAATCGATTGTAATTAAGTAGCTCCTGTTTGATTAACCACAAAATTCAAAACGGTTTGAGAAGCAAAACTGAGTAAGCTGACATGGACAACTGCATTTTAGAATATGGTATAGATACTTGGAACATTGGAATGGATTTCTTTATTCTTGGAAACAAGGGTGTTTCTCTTCCTAGCTACTTTTGCATTACCAAAACTAAGGAAAATGTTCGACACAATTATATGATAAGAAGCTTTATTTGTACATCAGGCTTTGGTTCATTAACTGGTATATATATTGGTTAAACTAAAGGTTCTTGTTTGGGAGGACTAAGATTGAAAGTAAATGATGTGGTCTCCACTCTATAGACCCAGAAAATTTGAAGTAGAAGGATGGTTGTTTATATGGGGGAGTAAGACGGGAAGTAAAATGATGTGATGATCTCCATTTAACGAAAGAGAAGAAAGGTAAGAGGAAGGTGGTGCAAATTCTGCATCAGTTTTTTGATGCAAAATTTGCACTATTAATTAAAAGTGCAAAATGAGACAAAAAAAAAAAGAAAATTGCAAATTTGAGGTTTAGGTCTAGCACTAACAATCTTTTAGTGGAAGGGCAAAAGGTCATTGTTGCACCCTAATGATGATGGCCACTGCTAATCTATGCAGTATCGTGTTAAAATAATTTAACGCAATATGGTGTCGTGTCCTCCATTATTAAAGGTAATGATATATGTACAATTAACTAATGACCACCTCAACTACTATAGCTCTATATGTTTTGTTTGGAACCCCCACTATCCACTTGGTGACTTGGGTTGGGGTTTTTATTTTATTTGTAATTAATAACCCACTATATTCCAAGAATGTGACCCATTATACAAATGTATTCAAAATTTCAAAGCCTTTCTGTTGAATTTTTTATCTGGTTTAGGAAGCTAAATTGTATCTGGTTTGTTAAAATATCGGTTAAGATTTATTTATATCTTTTTCTGAGTGGGAGGCCAGCCAGTAGCCAATAAGCCAAATGTTTGAAGGAAAAGTCCACTTGTCAGAGGACTTTGCTTTAATATTTAATATTTATATTTGATTGATTCATATGTATGTCGAAACAGTGCTTAAGTGTTGTAATGGTATCAAATTAATCATCATTAACAAAAATAATAATAAAAAATAGCCCAACTAGGCCCAACCTTGTCGCCTTCATTTGGTTGGCAGATACCAGACGTTTACATCATTCCCTAATTCCTTTGAGGTAGTCAGCCCTTTTGTCTAATGCAAGCTTCCTTTATTTTTCAGGGCATTTAGTAGTGTCAAATGAGGTGGATTGCAACCATTTTGTCACTTCTTAATGTGATCTAATTCAGTGATTCTTTACTACTCAACCAGATGGTTGATGCAACCAATTGGATCATATTGTGGGTCTGATTTGGGCAGGATCCATCCCATTTTTGTGGTCCATTCATGGTCAGGGTATTTCATTAGGTAGATAAGATTCGAGCACTTGTGCAGGTAAAAAAGTGTAGTGTAACATGAGGAATAATTGGGTAAAAGAACAACTGAGGTTCTGAGTCCTGATCACAGAATAGGCAGAACAAGGAACCCATTTTATTATTCTATATTAGCATACTGACAGACAAATCCTTTTAAACAGTAAAGCACAGGGTAATGGGAATCAGTTGGCTTACCCTCTAGACTAAAGATCTTACAGAAATGAGGACAAAAGGTTTATGTGGTTTTACCTTGTGCTTACATATGAGAAATTATCTGTTCTTCACTATTGTTTTGATTAGCATGTTCTTCAAAATGTGAAATAATAGAGAAAAATACAAGTATACTTCAAGAGTTATTTTCCCAGAGTGCTATTGTACCAGTCTCCATCCCCCCCACCACAAAGAATAAAAAAAAAAGTTAATAATTGATCAACAGCACACAAACAACCACAAATAGCTCTTTGGTTTATCTTTTGTATATTAAATATTTTGCTAATATGAAAGATGAAAGCTCTACTTAAATGTCAAAACTCCAAAACCGATTCCAAGAAGAACTCTTTTACTGTTAGCCAAATACATGTGAACAGTAATTGATTCCTGTTAACCAAAAACTTCATCAAAATTACAAGCTCACTGAGACCCCTATCAACAGAGATTGAATTTTCAATACATTCAGCCACTTAATTTTTCAAATGTTGTCAAGTCTATACAGTTTTGATGCTTCTCCATCAGAAATCAGTTTTCCAGATAACCAATCTTGCTGATAGGCTTCAAACCTTTTCTCTTCATCATTTTCCAACTCTGTGTTAGAGATGTTTCCATTTGTACACCCATTTTTTGAATTTTGGGGGAGACCATGCAAGACAAACTTAAGAAGAATATCCTTGTCCTATTTCTTTTTTCTCCTCTTTTATAATTGGAACAAGGGTTCAATTTCTTTATGAAAATACCAATTTCCCTGATCAACAATGAATCTTAGCTGAAGATGGAAGCAATTGAAAGAAGACCTAACCTGCAGCCAGAAGCCAAAACATGATAAGAGATGACATCTCAATCATTATCCAGCTCAAAAAGGCCAGGCAGACTGACATCTGGAATTTTGGGCAATCTGGCACCCTGCAGCCTCCCAAGTCTCTGGAGTATAAAACTGTTATCCCTGCTGCAGAGGATGCTGCTGCAAGAGACAATGTAGCTGTAACCTGTAATAATTCATTCAAGACCATAACATAATTTCCCAAATAGAAACACAAGACAACTGGGCTTAATAGAAGAACAAAGAAACATTAGAAAGTTTAAGGGAGACCAACCCAATCCCCAACCACGAAGAGGCTGACCAAAATAATATTGTGAAGGATCTTCTTTCTTGCCAAGGCATATGCATCCAATAGTGCAAGCCCAAAGCTCCAAATGACTTGCAAGCCCATTGAAGCTATCAGGTAGCTGCAAAGGACAATTTAGAGTACAAACATGATTAAAAACTCTACATACAAAAATGAACAGTATTGTGCTATGATACTAGTAAAGAACAGTATTTTGAAAATAATAAAACCATGAATAATTCCCATAAGAAATGTTGAGGACTATGCCGGTGAGAGTAGGGATTCTCACGGTTCACCGTGGGCCTATTTTTGAAACCGAACCGGTATTACCGGTTTTTGGAAAACTGGTAAGCGAAACCGAACTGAAGCCGTTTGGTTAACCATCGGTTTTTCGGTTTTTCTATATTTATAGTATATATTATAAAAAATATACAAATATATAATAAAAAAACTAGAAATATATAATATAATATTTTAAATAATAAATAATATATTATATATTATAAATACATAGTTATATATATACTGCATATTTATTAATTTATAATATATAGAAAATATATAATATACATAAAATATATAGAAATATATGTAAACCGGTTGGTTCGGTTAGCCGCCAGTTTTCTATATTGGTTAACCGAAACCGAACTAGTACCTTCGGTTTTTTAAAAATACCCAGTTCGGTTAACTGGAATTTTCAGTTCGGTTTCATCAGTTTGGTTCAGTACGTTTTTTGGTTTTTCTTGCTCACCCCTAGGTGAGAGAAGATAATATTTGCACCCAAGTTTACAAGATAAGAACGGAATAACCAATTTGACATTATCATCATACAAGCCTTATCCCAACTAATAACCAATTTGACATAAAGAAGGAAAGTATGAGGTAAAATTTGGAGATTTGAAGCACCCCAAGTTCCTTCTATAAGCAAAATTGCATCAATGCACTTAAAATGTGACATAGACAATTGACTTGCCTAGACAGAATCACTATTGTGTTAGACGTAGTGGTAAGTGGCTATTAGACCGTCAACAATACCAAACTAAGGCAATATCAAATAAACTTATGCTTGGTACAATTTATATAATAACAAAAAAATATTCATTTTTATATTAGTATAGTTCAATAAGGTGAGTAATTTGGTTCTCCTTCGATGAAAATACTAAAACCAATATGAAGGACGCCTATTAAAGTTTTCTTTTGATTGTTAAATAGGGTAGTTCTGTTTGCAAAGAAGGGGTATCCCTTTTATCAAAATTAGGTGGTCGCTGGAACAATAATGCATACAAGGAACACTGTCAGAAGTTCAGGTTTGACCAGTGTAGAGACTAAGAACAAGGTGAAGATGAAAGATAAGAAAGAAAACTAAAATTATTTTTATTTACCTACAATATTAGGATTTTAAATATTTCTAACTTCTTGTCAGCTAGACAAAGCATGGTTTTTGTCTGGGTGAAGCCTGGCCCTGAGCAACTGTTTAACCAACTAATCATCTGATTCTCCTGATGCCTTGACTACACTGGTCTGTAGGATTGATAGTATGAAATTTTCAAGATGCCACTGCTGCAACTTCTAGATAGAAAGTGCAATCTGTATCAAAGTAATCTAGAAGCATCCATCTAAGATATGCAGTCAAGGAATAAAATACTAGACAAACCACTTCATTGCTTCAAGGAGTTATCCAAACCATTTTTTTTTTTCTTTTGATGCAGAAATGGCTTTACACATAAGTAAATCACTTGTACTCTAGGTATTTTCAGACCAAAAAGAAATTCTTGAATAGCTAAGATGTACAATTGCTAACTAGAGCAGCAAATCAGCAAAATGGAGTGTTCCCTGTCAGTAAAGCATGTCTACCACCTGACTCAAATGGAAGGAAATACAAAACCTACAGGGAATATATCCATCATGGAAAAAGAAATCTTAAAAATCGTTTGCTCCAGCTTCATCATTTTATCCTTTTGAAAACCAATATGGAATTCCTGTTACTCTTCTTCAGAACTATGCATAATAGTTTCCATTCATGCTACCCAACTTCATCCTATCCACTTTCCTCTGCTTAAAAGGGAAGAAAAAAGAAGTAAAATTAGGAGAAAAGAACACAAATTTGATAACTCACAATTTCCTATAAGGCTAACTGGTGCAAAACTACAGACACTATCATCCTCAGTTCTTAGATTGTATGATACACACATCTCTAGGTTTTCTTATTAAAAAGGCTAAAATACTAAAAGTTGCAGTATCCTTAGAAATCACTAAGACCATTAAGGCGGTTAAAACTGCAGAAGGCATGCATAATAAAAAAGAAAAGAAAAAGTAAATTTCGTGATGGCAAGACTTATGAGTTACAGATAGTGTTTACTTTTATTTCAAATCTCACCAATTCCTATAAGTTCTGTTCTTTCCACAAGATAGGAGGAAAATTTTCAAGTTGTAAAATTTCAGTTGTAGGGAAAAATGCTGTAGATGGATTTCTGGATGCTTACACACATGTCACTATTTGGTGTTGGTAAATGGAATAGTAAGGGACTTCTTTCCTGCATGTAGAAGGCTCAGGAAGGGGGCCCACTTTTCTCCTTTCTTTTTACCCTGCTAGCTAATGTTTTTGTCAGGATAATTTTTAGAGCTGACAGGGAACATTTGATTAGGGGGTGAAATATAGGGAGGGATGATATTCAAATCATTCACCAATAGTTTGTGAGTGATATAATAATTTTTTTGAGGTGGTGATTCTCAAAAGGTAAGGAGCTCAAGGTTGGTGGCTAAACTGTTTGAGTGTACCTCAAATCTGAAAACAAACCTTGAGAAGGGTTGCACTGGGATAAACTTGGGAGATAGGGAACTGGAGTCTTTTCTAGGAATTCTAGGTTGTTTCATCTTGGCCAATGATCTAGGTCTTCCTTTAGGAGCAAACCCTGAAGAAAGTAGGAATTCGGATTAGCTGAATGCTTTATCTGTTCAGCGGGCTGTGGAACCAATGATGAGGTTCCACACCAGTAATAAATTCATGGGCCCCACTGTAAAAGATGCGGGCCCCATGTATTTAATACTGGCGTGGAACCTTATCATTGGTTCCACAGCCCGCCGAACAGCTAAAGCGTTCAGCTAAACCTTGCTCTAAAAGTAGATTTTGGAATCTGATTCTAGAGGTGTGCTGATGAGTTACCGCTCACCTCGGAAGCCCCTTCGAGGGTGGCTTAACCTCCTGAAACAGAAGATGAAGGGGAAGAAGAAAAGGGAAGGTAGGAAGAGGATGGACTCAGAGAGAAAACGAAGGGATATTCATTCACACCTTTTATTATATGATTATGGCCTTATATAGCTGGCCTACAGGTGTAATCATAGAGGGAATATCCTCTGATTGCAGGGTAACTAACTCTGGAAGATATCATGGAGGGAATATCCTCTGGCTGTAGAGTAACCAACTCTGAGTGTAACTAACTCTAGGGCTCTGTCGCGTGTCCTTTCTGTCTCCTTGTGAACTGCTGATGGGTGGTGGTTTGCTCCACTCCCACAGTTGGGTTCGGGGGGAGTGTTTGGGTCCCAACATGTGCAAAGAGGTTAGTAGGGTGGAAGAAAAATTATATCTCATTGGAAGGTAAAATAGTTTTAATTAAATCTACTCTAGCAAACCTTCTAGCTTATTATCTTCTAGTTTTTAAGATCCTGCAAAGGGTGGGTAAGAATTTTGAGAAAATTAAGGGGTCTGGGAAATTGTGAAATTGTGTGCAAGAATAAAAATCAAGGGAGTTTGGAATAGGAAATGTGGGGAAAACAAATATGACTGTTAGGAAAAATGGTTATGGATAGGGTGGTGGCAAGCATACATGGAAATTTGGATAATGGTTGGGATGCTAGTGTTTCTCATCGAACAACCTTGGCTTCTTCATGGAAAGCAATCCATAACATCCTTCCTCAATTTCTAAATCTTGTTAAGTATGATGTGTGTTTTTGGAATAAAATGTTGCTTTGGGAAGACCTATGGTTGGGTAGCTCCACACTCTCAAGGACCCCTTTCCATCCTTGTATTCTATTTCATTTTTTATCAGTCCTTGCAATCCATTTCTTTACTTATAAAGGAATCCATTGTGAAATTTTTATCCTCCCCATTGTCTTCAAATGGTTACATTTGGAACCTAGGTTTTAAAAAGGGGCTAAGGGATGAAGAATTTCATTTGATATCTCAATTGTTCATAGACATTGGTCACATCCTACAGATGGATTTGTTAAATTAAACTTTGATGGGAGCAGCCATGGTAAGTCAGGTCCTTATGGGATAGGAGAGTATTTAGAAATGAAGAGGGTCACATTTTTGCTTTATTTTCGGGACCAATTGGTATCGGGGACTCCACAAGGGCTGAGCTCTTAGCTGTACTTCAACGGGTGCAAGTAGCAAGAGACATGAATGTGGAGAGGTTGATTATTGAAAGGGATTCTAAGGTGGTAGTGGTGGAATGGTTAAGAAATCTGAAAGCTGTGGTTTGGGTTTACAAAAATGAAGCCAAAAAGTTTAAGTGGTTTACTAGCAATATGGTTACAAGGATACAATGGATCCAAAGGTCAGCTAATGGATTGGTGGATGTTTTAGCTGAGCAGGGAGGGTAAATAGGGAGCAGTTATATTGCGCTCAGTTGTAATGTGTCATTAATTTGAGGAGAGGTAGTAGCTTGTACCTTTCTAAGGGGTTCTTGTATTGTTTGTACAAATATTGTTTCGATTTAATGATATATATATAAAAAGAAAATTTCAATTGTGTTTTGCTTTTACATAAATAAATTGAGTCATGAGAGAACTTCTTCAACTCCTCTGCTCTTCAATTTCCATCTGCTGAACCTTAATTCAAATTTTTGCAATATGTTGGGATTCTTTGCTGTAAATTAGCTATAAATTAGGCTACAAATCAGGTGTAAATAGCTATATAATTGTTTCCTTACTTAGAATAGATTAGGCAAGATTTTCTCTTTTAAAATAGGGAACAAGTCCTAACGTTTAGGACTCCAATTGTATATAAAAACATGTTCTGCTGGAATAGAAAAAACA